AGCTGAGAATTTTCTTGTAATTTTCCACCCCTCAAGAAAATGAAGGGCAGAAGAGTTTATAGACCACAACTTGGCATAAAAACAGCTAAACTTTTCACCTCAAGGGCACTGCAACTCCCCAGCACTACACCGACATCAGTCTAACCAATCCAACAGTTCTTTCCATGCCTAAACTTCTTGAAACCATGCCACAGACAAAAAAACTCAGATCTCTCAGCACACAAAGCTCTCGGGACAATATTAGCTCAGAAGCTAAATTCAGTATCAGGGTGATGCTCAAGAGCATTCCTTTAAATACACGTACTCCCCCTACACACACTTTTATGTGTTAATTTGCTAAGACATTTAAACTTTTCAAATGAGAGAGTACTGACATCTGTTTTCTCTTTGAGCATTCTCCATTGTTGCAGTTAGAGTTTTACATACTGTAAAAACCCCAAGGCAAAGCCTGATTACTTATAATTAAACTGAGGGTCTCTAAACGTCCATGCTTACATTTGGGTAACAGAGTCTCAATAGCCGGAGTTATTGGGCCTTCACAACCCTTGTGAAGTCAATGACCAAACTCCCCAAGTATCACTCAAAGGGAGGTATATCAGTCTTGTGATTTGCCCAGGGAGTCAGCCAATGATTCAACCCAGGTCTCCCAATAACAAGTCCAAACCACACACCACAATGCAGGCGTAGTCAAGAGCATCAGCTGCTTGAAGCAAAAAGGATCATATCATGGGCTTAGCTGAAGCAACCTGGAGCTCCTTCCTGGCACCCCTGTGATGGCTGTCATTCACAGCTTTATTCTGGCAGTTGGGGATCACTTACATTTGGGAAGGCAGAGGCTGGCATTCCTCGGTGATATTGTTTAAGATGACATGTGCATCCTGCATGTCTTCTCTTTCACCTTTCCTCTCCGCCACATAACCCTTCAACCCAAGAATGCCCACTGCCCCTAAAGGGGAACAAAGCAGACACATGCACACAAATCAAACTCCTCCATCTCCTCAGCTCAGGCTGAAAACCAGTAAATCAGCAACCACTTTTCAGTTTTCTGAACACTATCCTGGCACTGCAGCAAAAGATAGTCCTCATCTAGCAAGGAAACACCTGGCAGCTTCTGCTGAACAGGATAGATTTATTTTGTAATATGGGGTTTTAAGGGCCCCCAAGGTCAGCAGCTGTAAAAGCCATTTGCCCCCACTCTGGCAGGCAGCTGTAGCCAAGCAGGACTGCTGGGCAGCAGATAGGGCTCCTACCAAACAGGGCCAGAGGGGCAGGGGAAGAACGTGGCATTGAACCTGCAAATTAAACAAAACAGTCTTAAAGAGGGTGCTAAGGACAGGACGTCAGGGTCTGCTGTTTTCAGAACACATCCGTGCCTTTGTATCCCTGAACACATCTTATTTCCAAAGCTGCACCATAACACACAGGCACCTGCGCTAAAGTCCTGTATGTAACAGCAAGTCCCTTTCTCTCTGGCTTTCTTAGCTGCCACCCAGTGGAGAAATCTGTGGATGTGGCACAAGAAACTGGTGCAGCTCTAGCTTTCTAGAGATTTCTCAGCCAATCCTCTTGGCAGCACAGGAACTTATCCTGCAAATGCCAAGGTGCTTGCTGCTCAGCTTCTGCCACCTCAGCGGGGCTGCTAAGTAGGCCCAGGTTAAGAAGGCAAAGAGTGCCAGGAAGCTCGAGGGGCTTCCATAAGCCACCGCAGCAGTTTGTTCCTTATGAAAGGCTGAAAATGCAAGTGGACTGAAGAACCAAAGCTCAGCTTTGGTCTGGACTTACTCAGCCCAATGTCAAAAGTACAAATTGAGTACATTTGTTTTCAAGTTGTCTGAAAACCTTTACAAACTTTCTTTTCCACAAGTTCTTCCCTGCCATTCTTCTCTTCCTCCTCCAAGGACTTTCTCTTCTCCCCTTTCCCGTGGCTCCCTGCTGAGACCTGCTCAGTAGCACTGGAGGCTGAAAGAAAACAAAAATGCAGATGACTGAAGCCTTTCAGTTCTGTTTTACTTGCATAAATTCAGCAGCAAGTCCTTTTAAATCAAAGTACCCTCCAGGAGCACAGGCTCTCACACTCATACAGTATTAAGTGACCAGAGTTATTACTGAACAAGACATATTAACTGACCACAAACATGCACAACACAGGTTCACTCAGCATTTACAACCCATGGCACACATCGCTGTGTAACTTGGTCGCTTTACATTGTGTGACCCTGCCCCAGACACTCCAGGTACCAAACACAGGTAGTGTTTGGCTACCAGTTTGCTGACTCTCCACACCAACCCAGTTTGTTTCTTAGCTATCGGCCTCTTTTGCAGTTAACTGTTCAAGAAGTTAACATTTCAGGTTGGAACACTTCTAATTTTTTTAATTTCCATTATTTGTGTCTATAAATGCAGAGAAATGTGTTTTATTACTCTGAATTTGTTAGGGATTTCAGAGGACAGGCAAGCAAAATATGATTCCCACAACATCAGAACCCTAGGTTTTTCCTTCTTGTATGGTATAGTGAATTACCTCACCTTCTCCCAGAAGCTAGCACACAGAAAGCCTTGCCAGACCAACAGTCTGGTTTTGAAGACATTTACAGCAAGGAACAAGGCGGCAGCCTGTGCCCACAGCAGAAAAGCAACAGAAGCCAGGGCAGTGGCAGCACTGGGCCACCACTGCCCTCACTTGTTGTGAGCACACGTGTACTTTCACTCCCAACAGAGAGAGCTGTCAGGCACAGGTGACAGGGGTCCCCAAAAGACATCTGAGGGATACACTTCTGGGAACAGACCTAAAGTCAGAACCTCTGTTTAAACAACTGGGGTACAAACAGGTCACCACAACCAGTGTCAGCCAACCCAGGTGCCAGGTTAAGTTGTTGTGGGTCCAACACAACAGGCTACATCAACAGGCTTTCCTGAGAAGGGCAGGTCAGCAGAGGCTTAGTGAGCTGACACGGCTCCTTACCTGTGTCACTGCTGCTGGCTGGTGGAAGATCATCAAAGAGTAAAGAGCCTCCTTTTGCTGGAGCACAAGAAAAATGCAATAAGAACTAAATACCTTCGTCCCTTGGAGGAAATAATGCTCTGTGTATGACCCTTCCTGAGATGCAAAAATTTTAAAATGCCAGTTTACCAAAGCAAGCCAAATTTCAACTTCTGTTACTGGATGGTGGGGGCAAACTCAGGCCTTACACATGTTTCAGAGAATATTTACATGGAATGTATTATATGTGTGGAACACCTATAACTTTCTGCTTATCAAAAAAAAAAACCCACAAAGCAGTTGCTCTGCACATCAGTGCTGATAACACAACTGTCTTTATCCTGCCTAACAACGAAAAGGGCTTATACAAGTTTCATCTCAAGAGATGCTGATGCAGAAAATACAGGAAGCCAAACTAATGGCAGGAATGGAATGCCCATACCTGAGTCAGCACTGCTGGCTGGTGGGAGATCCTCAAAGAGCAGAGGTCCTTTTTGGGCTTCCTTCCCTGTAAGACACCAGGGCAGAGTCAGGACCTGTTACAGGCACTCAGGGGTTGGTTTCTGGAAAGACTACCCCACAGGTGAGCACAGGTCAGGTAACTGAGGAGAGCCTTGGCTACCTTTTTTCCATCTTTAATTTAGGCAGCTCCTGCTTGGGGATAATGTGAACTTTTATCTTGAAAACAGCTTTTTTTTTGTTAGCAATCCACTCATCTTGCATTAACATCCTTCAGCATCCAGATCAAGATGTTACAGGATGGGAGGGGCCCAGAAAGCATAAAATTATGTCAGGTAACACCATTACAGCTCTCCTCAAACCTGCAGCAGCACAGAGGGGAGAGGCTTCAGCACAGCCTAAACCGCATGGGGAATACTCTGCATCTGAACGAGTCCCAGAGAACAAAGAAACCATAAGAAAAACCCCAAACCCTGTAATTTCTCCAGCGGTTTTTAAGACATCGCCTCACACACCGCCCTCCCTTTACCCCCGCCCCTCAGGCGCTGGAGCCCTCAGCTGCTACCACCGCCCGTGCGCTGCCTGCAGGGCGCGGAGCCGGAGGCTGCCCCCGGAGAGGCTCGCTGCTCACGGCCGCGCTGAAGCAGGCCCAGCGGGGACTCGCGGCCTGTTAGGCCGTGCTTGGGTGAAGGCCCGCCCCGGAGCCGCGCCGGGGTAGAGCGCAGGAGGACAGCGATTATGCAGACGCCCGAAGGGTCACGGCCCCCTCACCCG